TGTAGCTAACTTCCTTTAAGATTCTGCTATCCTTATTTTTATTATTATTATTATTATTATTATTATTTGTGCGTAACAATTATCAAAGTTGAAATATCTTTGCTATTTTTGACATTTCAAAACTAGAGATGCAGGGTCACCCTTCTTATCTCAATCTATCCGCCTGCGGACCAGCTGACTTGCCTATCCGACCGCAGACCAGCTGACCTACTTTATCCGACCGCAGACCATCAGACCTGTCTGTCCGACCTGCTGACCATCAGACCTGTCTGTCCGACCGCCAACCATCCGACCAGACCAACCAACCGAGGACCTTCCGACCTGTCTATCCCACCGCTAACCAACCGACCGAGGACCAACCGATCGAGGACCTTCCGACCTGCCTATCCGACAGCTAACCAACCCACCTGACCAACCGACCAGACCAACCACCGAGGACCAACCGACCTGAGCGCAAATAATTCGATTGTATTTTTGTTTTACAGTTTATATTTCAAATAAATAATGTTTCACTACATTACATTATAGAATAGTCGCGCGGTATACCGCGCAAGAGCGTGTTCTAGTGTGTATATATATATATATATGTTATTTTTGTGTAAGGAGAAGGATGAGGATTCCTTCTCAGTTGAGAAGATCTATGGTGTTCTTTATACAATATTTGTTATATAATAGTACAATGTTCCACGGATTTTTTAGGGAGTGTTTCTTTGTTTGAAAAATAATATATATATATATATATATAATATGTAATATTTCTTTTTCATCCATCAAAATTATATATATATATTGTCGTTTTCTAAATTATGTATAATTTAATGTAGTAAACAATTTTATTTATCCCGAATTTTATTTTTCTTATTTTAAGAAATACTAATAAAATTTTTACGATTTATTTTCACTTATCTCCCTATTTTTTTATCAATTATTTATAATTTTTCTATAATACTTTTATCTTATTTTTTTTTATCTATTTTGTTTTAATATTAAAATATTATTGATTTTTGTAACCAATCAAACATTCATATTTTATCAGATGAAGGAAATATATATGCCGTCTCTGGGCCCGGGCGAAAGGGACGACTGCTCAGAGCCCAATCTAAATTGGGGCCTATTATTTATTTATGTTATATATAAATTATTTATATATAAAAATTATTTGAAATTAATATATTAATACAAGAGCATGGCTTAATGGTTAAGTACCTTCAAAATTTAAAAATATTTTTTTATACATTAAAAAAAATTAGACAAAGTTAATATTATTGATATTTTGCATATAAAAATATTAAGAAAATTATTTTATTTAATTATTTATGTTTTATTATAGATAAAAAAAAATATATTATTTATACTGCATCCCTAATTTTTGTTTTAACATTGTTAATATTAATACTATTATTGATATTTTATCTAAAAATTCTGAAAAAATTATTTTATTTAATAACTTATATTCTATTATAAGTAAAAAAAAAAAAAAAATCGGAGTAGATCATTTATATATATTTAGGGGTCTTTTATTTTTGTTTCAATTATTTTTTTCACTAAAAAGATAATAAATATTAGACAAAATTATTATTATTATTATTAGGCAAAATTATCAATAACTTATTTCGAAACTCAATGTAAGTCTCTATATACTTTAAAAATGATATGAACCCTTTGTACTTTAAAAAATATTCCATAAAAGTCATTTTTATATTTTTTTCTGATGAGAAGATGACTTTTCATCTACATTTTTTGCATAGCGACGGTTTAATATAGCGTTTGTTAAAATATAAGAGAACGTTACGCAATTTTAAAAGTTATGCTAGAAAAAATGTTTTTTTTTTTATTTATATTTTATTATAGGTAAAAAATATTATATATATTTAAAGGCCCATAATTTTTATTTCGCCCCGGGCCCTTCAAAAGTCAGGAACGGCCCTATCGGCGACGACAACAACGGCGGCCGCTCAACGACGGCCCAAGTGGCGGCAACGGAGTCTTCTCCTCCTCCTCCTTCTCCAGCGGCGACGGCAGCAGCGGTTCTGGCCAAGGCCGTCCCTGGGCCCGGGCGAAACGAGCGACCGCCCAGGGCTCAATCTAAATTGGGCCCATTATTTATTTATGTTATATATAAATTATTTATATATACAAATTATTTGACATTAATATATTAATATAAGAGCATGACTTAGTAGTAAAGTTCTAGACAAAGTTAATATTATTGATACTTTGCATATAAAAATATTAAAAAAGATATTTTATTTAATTATTTATATGTTATTATAGATAAAAAAAAAATATATTATTTATACTGAGCCCCTAATTTTTGTTTTAACATTGTTAATATTAATAATATTATTGATATTTTATCTAAAAATTTTGGAAAAATTATTTTATTTAATAACTTATATTCTATAATAGGTAAAAAAAATCGAGAGTAGATCATTTATTTATATTTAGGGGTTTTTTATTTTTTTTAATTATTTTTTCACTAAAAAGATAATAAATATTAGACAAAATTATTATTATTATTAGGCAAAATTATCAATAACTTATTTCGAAACTCAGTGTAAATCTCTATATACTTTAAAAATGACATGAGTCCCTTGTACTTTAAAAAATATTCTATGAAACTCATTTATATATATATATATATATTTTTTATGAGAAGATGACTTTTTATCTATATTTTTTGCATGACACGGTTTAATATAGCATTTGTTAAAATATAAGGGGTGTTATGCAATTTTTAAAAGTTAAGCTAGAAAAAATATTTTTATTTATTTATTTATATTTTATTATAGATAAAAAAAATATTATATCGGGCCGGTAATTTTTATTTTGCCCTGGGTCTTAAAAGTCAGGAACGGCCTGTATACGAATACACGTATGGTGTCAATCAATTGTTCCTTCGTTTAACTTATTGCAAAGTTTGCTTGATTATGCATTGGTTTTTGAGGAATAGTAAAATAAGTGTCTGAATACCCTATCAAACAAGTAATCAATTTTTATTTAAAATACTCCGTTCATTCTGAAACTAAATATTTATTTGCTTTTTGCACATAGTTTTAAAAATATTAGTATTTTATATTGGATATAATAGGAATAAAATAGAAATAACTAAAATAACCTTATTAGTATGTGTGATATAAAGGTAATGACATTTGTGTAATATATTGTAAATTGTAAGAGTATTTGTAATGTTAGGTAGATAGTACAGTTACTAAAAATAGAAAATTGATACTTTGTTATGGGACGGATTAAAATGGAAAAATAAGGTGGGAGTATAATTATTTGATTCAAATTAGCATCTTAATTATTTACATTGGCTCAACCTTTTACTGAAATAAGCTTGAAGCTTGCTTAACTGGGAGTTAGGACTCTCTATTTTTTTATTTTTTTTTTACTATTTGTTTATTCTCTAACTTTTAATTAAACAATAATAAGACTGAAATAAATAAATACAACACAAAAACATATGCTTGCTTTAATTTTTTTATTATTAATAATATTAATATAATTTATTTTATTAATTTTTTTTACTGTAAATATCATATCTTTTTTTTTTCTGTTATGTTATTTCACAATATATATTTCTATTTATTAAAAAAATAAAAATAAAATTACAACTCTTTAATTGATATTTTTTAATATTATATTTATTGACAAACATATCACAATGATTTACATATTCCATTTATGAAAAAAATGTTGATTTTATTAACTCATTGTTACTTCAAAAATTAGCTATAGCAAATATTTGGGTTCAAAGTTGCTTAATTATTTGTTCCAAATTGCAACATCCCAATTGAAAGACCGAATTGGATGGTATTTAGATGACATACCTAATTTGTCTCTATTTTTTACTTTCATCCGTCTCACATAATTTATTCTCTTTTTTTTTTTTGAAAAATTAATTATACACTTTAATTATATTTTAAATTTTAAATTTTAAATTTTTTTTAATTTTAATTAAACTATTTAGTTATTTTTACTAATACATTTCTTAATTATTTACACTTTATCTAAATTGATTATGGATAAATTACAATCTTAAATAACTTATATCATATTAGAAGTAATATAGATATATATATATATATATATAGTTTTAAAGGGGACACGATCATCATCCAATATGAATTTATTCAAAAAAAATTTCAATTTATTCCTTCCCTGTTCATGTTCTTTTCTTTATTTGCTTTATTGCTTTTGTTACCTTTCTTGCTCAATTTTCCTTTGCCTTTTATTTCGCTCTCGTTCTTTTTGTTCATTAATTTCTCAGACACGATTATGGATCATTTCTTGAAGAAATCAGACAATCCATCTAATTTTTCACTTTTCAACTTGTTCGCTTTGATAAACTGTTGAAATATATTTTGAGTCACGATACTCACAATTAATTAATACTCTATATCTCTATGTCTAGTCCTGTAATGTATGGCCGGTGTGGGGAGTAAAATTGTGACCGTAAAGTCATAATTTCAATCCTGATGTCTCAGGATCCACATATCACAACTGGATTTACCAAGTGCGCACTTTTGAATAGTAATTATGGATTTCCACATTATAAAAATATATATATATATATTAATACTCTATGTCTAACTCTCAATGCACTTTTCTATTGTTTTCGATGCCCTATTCACAAGTATTTGTTTTCAATTATAATAAAAAATAATCATATGTAAATACCAAAACATTTTAAATTTTACAAAAATATATATATATTTGTACTTTCAAAGGCAAAATTATTAAAATCATTTTATACATTTCTATTAATCAATAAAATAAAATAAAATATTATTATACTGAAATAGTATAATACTATTCATTAAAATTTTTGTGAAGGAAGGAAGTATAGATATTTAAACCACAAAAGACAAACATTGGCAGGATACTTCCATGCTTCAGTATTTCTATGTTTGTGCTAAGTATTTATATTATATACATATACATATATATGGATGGGATATCATTCTAAAATCAAATTTGTGATCCAAAGATTGAGAGAAATTCAAAAGATTGAAGATGTAGGAGATTTGATTGAAAATCAGGCAGTCCATGAATGTCTGTCTTGGAGCAGGAAAGATTAGCTAGCTAGCTACCAGCGCATAATTCATTCATTCTTAGCATGTCGAAAGTGTAACTACATGAATCTAAACAAGACAGTAGAGTCAGTACCTTTGCATTCATTAAGCATCGAGGACGAGGTTGTCTTCTTTGAGGACTAGTTCCACAGGTTCAAGATCCCACGGCACAAAAGGAGAAGAAGAGGCCGGAGGAGAACCGGGAGGGGATTTATACTTGGAACCCAAGAACTCTGTCATTGGCAATTCATCCAATTTCCGAGAAGCCTCAGGTTTATGCTGGAATGAAGATAAAAATATCAGCCTCTTATTTGCTTATAAACAGTCAAACACTAAGTGTCATGTATATACTTATATATATATGTGTATGTATGTTTGAATCAACTATGTACCTCTTCTTTTTTGACCATCACATCTGCAGCATCTGCATTAGGAAAGAAGGTTATCTATACCCAGCAGTAACAAAAAGTGTTCTTACATGCATTCTTGAGTGGCGATTCTTTTTTAATGAAAAAACTGTCAATCTCTAACATGGGGTAGAGGAAAAATGCAGCACATGGTTTCAATTCAATACCTCAAAACAATAACCTTCAGGAAATGTTAGCAACTTATGGATCAATCTAGAAGTCTTCCTTAATGTCTATCTTGAATTAAACCCGCAAGAAAAAACAAGCGCTTTAGTCATTTTCCCCACTGCTTTCGAACATTAACTCTAATAATAAAAAAAACGAAACAATTAAGGGGCAAGACATGCATTCTTAGAAGTATATAAAAACTATACTCGATCGCAGCGCCTTGTAAAACCTACAAGATGAAATGGAGCATTGTGGAAGCATCCAACAGAAAGAGAACAAAAGAGCTTGAAACATTTACCATGTCCAGGAAGAACAATGTCCCAGAAGTTGAGCTCCCGTGCAGATTTTTGTGCTTGAACACACTTACTGTGATCATGCAAAAACCCTTCTTCAGCAATGTTGAGTTTCTCAAATAATGAACCCTTTCTCTGTGACAGTGCCTCGGCATCAAATACACCATGGTGCTTATAGCCTTCACCTGCAATGTTTAACTTCTTACTTTGAGAACCCTTTTTCTGGGAGGATGCTGCAGGATGGAAGGGCTTTTTGTTCGTTATGTCGTTCAGAGCTTTACGACTCTCAGGTGCTACCGCACCCTTCTTTGCAGCTGGTCCAAAGCTCTTTGCTTTACCTTCAACTGCAGGCTCTACAAAAATAAAGCCACTTTTACTTTGGTGGAGATAATAGAAGTAACGGACATATTGTTAATGGACATTGTGTAAACTCGAGCATAGTCAAAGAAATCAATGCATGAAGTATCATTCTTTTATGAAAACCTTATGGTGTGGTCAGAAATAAACTTGAAAAAGAGAGACGAGTTATTACTTTTACGAACAATGGCTGAATTTTCATCTTGGATGCTCAGTGGCTTTAAAGTGAGGGGCCTTTCCATATTTCCTTTATCACACTGCACAAAAGAATTACCTTGCAATTACGAAACCCGTGTTTCAAGGATAGCAAAAGAAATAATACACCTGAAACAGAATTATAGTCCATATGCCACAATTTTACAAGAAACAGCAATTAAATTTTGAATTACAAGAAGAAATCCCTTTAGAATAAATTAAAGGATCATTATCAATGAAACAAGGTTGAAAACCATTTCTATCCACTCCTTCACAAGCTGATCTCAACAGGTCCAACAGATATCTTGGTGCACCGAGAAAATACATCATTTGAAGAATTCAGAATTATTTCTCAACAATAGCAAATCATCATCACTCTTAAAAACAAAATACCTAAGTGCAGAACTGTGTTCAGCTTAACTAATAAAAGGACACTTTAAATTCTATACCTAATTTTATTTTCACATACAGGTACACCTTTTCAATCATTTTTAGTAAATTTGGGTGCTCATCATCTGTTGTTTCAAATATGAATGTTCGTTCCGATCAAAAAAAAAAATAAAAATGAATGTTTGTACCAATTAAACTATCTGGTAACTGAGAGCTTCTAAGATATTCACCAAACTAGAATAAATAAACAGCTAAAATTAAGTGCAGTCATCATCATTTCAAGCAAGAAAATTCGCAAAATTCATGCCCAAAACCTACTTCTCCAATACTGCAACTATTCTCGCTCCTCACACTCCTGCTTCCTTCTTCCACTTCACTCTCTCCAATACATAAAATTACAAAATATAACTAATCCACCCAATATTTAACACATGCTTGTTCGAAAACAAAAAAACTACAGACAATTTGATTCAGTACGAAATCCCGAGTTTCGAACAAATAGAAACGATTGAAACCTCAAATTCGAAGAATTAACTTACCAAAACAAAATTCAATTGGTTCGGTGTTGAAGTATCGAATCAATCGATCGTAAAATCTTCCGTATCAGCAGAGAAAGCAAAAATTGAGAGGAGAAACTGTGTGGCCGTTGCGTTCTTTCAAAAGTTTATTAGGCGGCTTTTTCAAATGACCCTTTGATTTTGAACGCGTTTCATTTATGGGCTTGGCTGGGCTGTTACTCTAAGTAAATGGGCCTTGGAGTTTATTTAAATGTTTTCAAATGCAAATGTGAGATTATGGATTTGTTTTTTTTATTACCAAAATATCAAGTTTTTACTTTTGAAATTTGTGTTTCTAAAAGAAAATATTTTTTTTTTTTCTTTTGCAAAATATCATATCATACATTATTTTAAAATCAATTTCAAATCAAATTTTTTTCAAATTCATCAAAATAAACAATATATGTTTTGAAAATATTTATATTTTTTAAAATAATAATAATTGAATAGTGTTGTAAAATCAACATAAAAATAACAAATAAAAATATTAATTATTATTTTATATATATTATACTCTTTCCGTTAGCAAAAATTAGTTCATTTGGAGTTGGCACAGAGATTAAAAAATAAATATTTTATAGGTCAAGATCATTTGCCTCTCGAAGATATAGCAAAACATGTTTAACTTTATTTCTAGAAAATGAACTAAATATGATCAGCAAATGCAATATATAACACATAATGTTATTTGCTAGGTACATAAGTGCATCTATTGTCCTGAAATATAATATTTAAGGACGAGTATATCTTCTTTTGTCTAAATGGATCCTTATTATGATACAGTGACCTACAGATCTTTGGAGTACTCAAGTGTTTTATTCATATAAAATTATTTTAATATCTTATGGGTGCTTTTACTTTAATTGATTGTATTATAATACCTAAATTATTTAATGGATTATATAATCAATGAATTAATTAATAGTATAACGTTTACTTTACGTGATTAAAATATTAGATAAAATCATATTATGTTTACTTTATTTGATTATATGTCAATAATGTTATTATAAATTATTGTAATATAAGTTATTTTATATAGTTTTTTTTTTCTAATTATAACAACATTAAAATTTAATTTATTGTCATGACGTTATATGTATATATACAATTTGATATTTTTTATTATTTATTAAATATATTTAATTTTATCCTCAAAATAATAAATTAAGTTTTAGTAAAATATTATATGGCATTTTATCACTTTATATTATTGATTCAAAATTTAAAAAATATATATATAATTTACATTTCAAATGAAATTAAAATATATTAAACAAAAAAAATTGTTATTATATTTATATAAAATATTTATAAGTGTTTAAAGATAAAAGTAATTTAGATAATTAGTATGTAGCATTACATAATACTATTAGATTGTATTAATAATCCTATAAATTAGTATAATTGTAACGAACTTTTAATTATATAAAGATATAATATATTAAAGTAAACATGAGATTAGATCGAATTAAATAATATAATTCACCCTTAACTCATGAAGAAAACCCATTCTATGAGTATAGGTGGTTTGGTGGAAAAATACTTCACTATCTACATATTTAATTTGTAACTAAGATAAAAAATTATCTTTCCAAAGTCTTCGATCTCAAATTTTATTTTCAAATATTTCACAAAGAATTGGAGCTTTTCAGAAGTTTAAATAAGATTGAATCATCAACATTACTGCAATGATAAAAAAAATAATAATAAAAAATTGACCTATTTCTCTTTATAAAAATATATGGACATATTAGGTCATTAGTGTATCATTCTTTGGTTAATCAGTCAGTAACTATTTAAATCCGTACAAAGAATTTTGTACTTTGATGGAATAATCCATACAAACAATTTTGTACTTTGATGGAATAATATTTTTTGAGATTTGAAATGCATGCTTCAGATATGTTATATGTTTCCAAAATTTTCTTTCATATAAATATCATTTTTCAGTGAAACATAAAAATAAACAATTACTACGTCAATCACGCATATCAAGTTTTTTTCATGCACTGCGAGACTAATGATGTATCTCACTTTATATCGATAGTGAAAGTATATATAAGGTGTGTTTGGTTGAAGGATTCCAAATGATTTGCACTATTCATACAATTTTTCTCCCCAAAAAAATCAAATTAACCTATTTTTATTTTTATATTATTTTATAAATCAAATTTACATTAAAAACATCACATCAATATTTATTTATATTCAAATTCAAAATTTTTATTATTTAAATCTCAATTTTTTCAAACCCCAAACCCCCAAACAAACCCACAAAGTGAATATACGCATATAAATTTTTTTATAATATTAATAAAAAATATGTCGAAAATTATTTCTTGAAACAACGCACGCCTAATAAAATAAAAATTTTGCATACAATACACAACTAGAAAATATGTAATAAAATTTCAATAAAAAACATATCACGCATGGATTAGATTTAGAAAAAATCCAAACAGGAATCAATCTATGACAAAATCGGTATATAAGAAACCAAATGATTGATAAATGCCAAAGAGAAAACATACCACAAAAGTAAAATGCCATGATGCATTCGCCTGTAGAATTTACATGAAAGCCTTCAGGCCTCGAGTCGACCCGACCCGACCTATTGTCATCCCTACGCCCAACTAGTCAGCAACCTATCATGGAATTTACAATTTTACCCTCAACCCCGAGCAAGCCAACAACATCTGATATGGGGGGAAAAAAAATCATAAACCAGAGTCAAGCCATGAGAACAATGGATGATAGATGGTTAAGAATGGCGAAAAGCCGAAACCCCGAGGATTAGAAATCCTCTCTACTCTCTCTTTATGGCAAATGGAAAGCCAACCCTTTTGAACAACAATGCCAAACCTATTATGCTACTCAAACAATATCATTTTTGTTATTTTTCTTTATCTATGGCTGAAGCAGAAATGCACAGGATGAATGACAAAGAGGAGTACAGAAACACACATACATAAGCTTCGTCGACTGTCAATGCCCCAAGTCCTCGCTCGCCACGCCAACGCTTGATTTGTCAACCATTCGCACGTTGTACTGTTCATATACTCTTGCACGGTTCTCCGTCCACCATTGTTCTGCTTGCTTCTCGCTGAATCTTTTCCGGCTGCAGTCAAAAGTTTCATGCATGTTCAGTATGCACATCTGAATAGTAAAAATCAAGATTCTTGAAATTTCATTTGATTGTAATTGAACGATACAAGCTTGATATATTAGGAGTAAGGCAAGCTCCTGAAAGGAGCCCGGAAATAATAGTTTTACGTATAAAGCATATGCAGAAAACTTGTGGGTTGTCTCATATGTGGGAAAGCTAATAAAATAAACTGGAACTTGTGGCAACAGGAAATAGAGAGGCAAAAGCTCAATGGAACATACCTAAAGCGAACTCGCTTCAAATCTTTGAGTCCTCCAGGAAGGGAGGTAAGAGTAATATAAACACCCGGCTCATCTTGCTCAACCCATTCATTTTCACTGCGAGAATCACTTTCTTTTACCCTATTTCCATTCCTCACAGATGCTTCCGAGTAGCCTTGCCTGCTGCTACCCAAGCTGCGATTACTTGCAGTGCTGGACCCGTTAGAGTGTAACACATTCGACTCGTGCGATTCCAGCTCCTGGCTACTTGCTTGACCATTCGCTCGATCTACAGAGGCATCTGCAACATCATTAGGTAAAGGAGGGGGACCAAGGGCGCCCAAGGGAGGAGATTTGGTGTTTCTAGCAGGACCAACAGGAAGCCTTTCAGCCATTTCCTTAAGCTACAATGCAAAAAACATCATCGTCAAGAGATTGGCAATGGATGCAGTACAAAAATAATAAACTAGGCTGCAATTTTGATCCGTTGATTGGTCCATGCTTCCCATCCTATTTGATGCAAGGTCAAAATAAAGCTTTTAACAAAATCAGGATCCAGATCTCATGACATCTGACGCTTCAATTCCGAATTACCAATTACTATCAGGGAATAAAAGAACAAGTGTTAGGTTGAATGTGAAATTTATTCAAGTTGTTAATCACAAGTAGTATAATAGCAATGAACACACTAATATGGCTTATTGTCATCTCCTAAAATAGATCACTATAACCTGTCCTTACCTTAATTTAAACTTTTAACATAACCAAGAACCAGTCAGTTATACAGAGGTCATAGGTTTGTTTCATGTAAAATCACAAAGAGAACTATTGCAGGAAGGGCTAGCCAATATAATTTAAATATGTTCGATGAAATAATTTCTTAGATGTATTACCCACATCCCCAAGGGTTATGACCACTTTTTACGGGTCAGCGGAATCGTTGTCTTTTATGCTCATGTGAAAATTTGTGCATTTATTTAAACAAGCAGGGATACCATACAGCCTTTCAAAAAGAGAATAATTCAAACAATCTGACCTACTATTCTAAGTATCAAAGACTGATATCACTTAATATTAGAGATTAATTTCCATAATCCTTTCCACCATTATTTAAATCATGGAACCCAGCATTCAAGCCTTGATTAATCGGTTTTAGTAGCTGTTGAGTTTCAATCCATCTAGTAGGTATCCAAATGCAAGCAAAGGCATATAGATAGAGTCAATTATTTGCAATGGACAGAGGGAACAAACAATCACCTAAACCTAATCTAATGTAGTTAGATATCTGGAAAGAATTTTCTGCCAACAGATCAGGTCGAAGCAACCAGCTAAACAACGTAAATGATTAATGAAAGAAGTAGTTTTTCCTTACCTGTGCCGTCAATGATTTAATTACTTCTTTTGCAGCTTTGCATTTTGCAGTCTCTTCCCCAGCAATTGCTATTGCCTCCTTCAGCTGTTTAGTTGTTCTTTCTAGTTCTGCCTCCTGAAGTTGAGCCTTGCGAGAGAGATTTTCCACCTGTATAAATAACGAATCAAGTTCAGATTCCAACAGAGTCCAAAATTTATATTTTGTATTTTCAAATTTACATGAAACCAAAACACGCACTGAACAATATCTCCACATTTACTCTGGCAATTATATAATTGATGAAATTGTCTTTTCAGTTAATCGAAAAATAGCAATTAATAGAGAAGGACACTAACTAATACATCCACCATTTCCGCATGCATGGTTCTTATCTTCCTTATCGTCTCTATTTTAAGAAAAAACAATAAAGAACAGATTGATGACAGTTAAGCAATGGACAGATTCCTATTATGTAGTTCTACATACAAATAAGAACTATAAGAATCAAACAATCGAATGCAGCGTATTCCAATTCATATAAAAAGTGCCTTTCATAAGTTCTTTTCTGTGGAGCCTCCCTAGCTAATAATATTGTCAAACTAAGGCATAAAGGAGAGTATCGGGAAAACATGCCAAGCAACAAAGGAAGATTGGCTACCTGTGCTCTTAATTTAATAACTTCTTGGCTAAGGCCTTCATTAGTCATCTTTGCATCATCTAGAACAATTTTAGGTGATGTGAGTCCTCCCAAGGTTGGGGTTGGTGTAGTTGAACGAGGAGGACTAGTTCGTCTAGATATTGGTGATGTAGCTCGAGAAACAATTCTTGATCCAGGAACTGAAGCAGAGAAAAATTTTTTGGACGAGCCAAAAACTGGGTTGAAAGACTTTGAGATATTGAGGGCCCCCCATTGTGAACTCCCAGATGGGATTGGTGAACCACGGGTATTATTAAATTCCAGTTTTTTGTTAATCTTCGAGATGCGGCTCTCTCCTTGTTTAAGGGATTCCATGGAAGGGAACCTAGCAGGATTGGGACGAGATCTTGTGTCCAGCTTATCATCTTTGTCAATGATATCATTTATCCCCTGATTAATCATACTTCCCCTTCGACCCATGGATGAGCGAGATGATGTATCAGTTTCAATAGCTTTTTTCAATCTGTTAAAACAATTCTCACAAACACGGTACGGTTTGTTGGGATTTGGTGCCATTGAAGCTCTCAGTGACTTCTTGCTGCTGCATGAATGACAAAAAACAAGCCCACAGTTATAACAGTTGTGACGTTTTCTTTTGAAGTTAAATGGTTGACGGCAGCCAGAACACATGGACTGATCGACACCAGATACCCACTTATGTAGGCAGATCGCTGCAGTAAAATTAGTACCACAGGCAATGCTTTTTACTTGTTTGTCTTTTAGAGCTTCAACCAAAGTTGGAGCATTTCTATCATCTGTATCTCCATGGCCCAGTCTACCATTTGCTCCTTTTCCCCATGTATAAACTTCAGTCCTCGAAGTCAACACAGCTGCATGATAGGCACCGCAAGATATCTCTTCCACAAAACTCTTCGAGAGTTTTCCTTCAACACGAGATGGGAGCTTCCCATCAGATTGTGGGTTTCCCAGTTGCCCATAAACAGGACTCCCCATAGTGTATACATGTCCAGATGTTGTGAGAGCTAATGTCAGACTGTGTCCACAAGCAACCTGACAAAAGTTTGGTTCTACAAGAGCAGCAACACAGGTCGGAACAAGTTTTGTTTCCCTATCACCGTGTCCAAGTCTACTTTTGTCACCATCACCCCATGTAAAAAGTTTTCCAGAAGAACAATTGCTGGAACTCGAGCTTCCAACCATAACTTCTACAATGGCAGCAGTATGCCAAGCACCACATGACACTCGCACAGTGCGCAGACCCTTCAAAGAGTCCACTTCTCTAGGCTTTGAAACACTTCTTCTATCTCCGTGACCAAGAACTCCAAAAGTTCCATCACCAAAAGTGAACAACTGCCCAGCAGAGGTCACAACAGCTGTATGCCAAGGTCCACATGAAATCGAAGAAACATGTATCCCTTCAAGAGGCCCATTTACTCTTTTTGGAACCCAATGACTCACTTCATTCCCATGCCCAAGAATACCAAAATGACCATTACCCCATGTGTATAGCTCTCCAGAAAGTGTCACAGCACAGGAATGATATTCACCACATGCAACAAGTTCAATGTTAGTATTGCTAAGCCCATCAATTAGCTTTGGATGTGAGACATCAGCATCTACACCATGACCAAGCCTGCCACCTGATTCCTCACCCCAAGAGAACATCTCTCCTTGTTTGGTCACTAGAGCAGCATGTTGTCCACCACAAGCTATGTTTTGAACATCCAATACAACAACAGATTCCAAGGCCTTGGGCAACAGTGCATCCATTTTGACACCAAAATTGCTTCCAACTCTGTGTAGACCACCACCCATAATACCATCGCCAGTGCTTTCACCCCATATGAAAACATCTCCTAAGGCATCACCATCATCATGACCCGATCCTTGACTTGATGAGCTAACAGCACTAGAAAGGCTTACTCTAAATGTGTCCATTCCCATTCCCTTCATATGACCATGTAAGCCATCTGAACCTCCAGATGACACAGAATGAACAGAACCACTGGCAGAATCTGATGGGAAGAAACTCTTAGGAGGCACAGCATATAATATAACATCTGAAAATGCCTTGTCTAGAACGTTTTTAGGAGGACTTCCATATGGACTGTGGAGGCGGAGTTGATCACTGCCATCCTGCATCAGACACAAATGATTGACAAAAAGTTCAGATACTTTACAACAAAGTGAGCTAATGCAGAAGCTTATATCTGGAAAAATGAAATGATATCTGGGTAGAGGAGAAACAAGAGCACTACACCTTCTGCAATTTTTCACCACTTACAAATGGAGAGTGCAGTGGTGAACTTCTTCTTGTGTATGTTCTGGGACTATTAGCACCAGAAGAAATGCCATCACTCCTTGATTCGGTTCTCCATTTGCGTTGTTGACCACGTGATATCAATGCCTTAAGGCCGCTAAACCACACTTCTGCCTCTTCCTTGTCCTTGCATATCTATGAGGTCAAAAAAAATTATCAAGTTGCATTATCTAAACAAATATGCACCAGAAGAACCAAGTTGCAATGAAATGCCTGTTCATTAAAGAATATGGAGGTAACAAACTGGGAACTTACCAAATCAAGTGATCTGTCATTGTATATGAGAGAGAACGACTGGTATTCCTTCTCAGGTCTTGGATACCTTTGAAAAATTGGCTAGACCAGAGAAAATAATACATAAATAGATACACTGAGAGAGAGAGAGAGGGGAATCAATCCAAATATTCACCCAGAAATGCATATGAAACAAATTTTCAAGCAAACAAGATCATTCTGAATCACAAAACGGGAACATCTCATAATGGAGCTTGAAATCTAATCCACGAAATCATCGCAAAACCCATTAGAACGGAGACCTTGAGAAAATATTCAGTACATAGAGGTGAAAATTATCGATGAAATACATCATTAAGACTTAAGGGTTCTTACAACTAGGAAATTTCTGGCGACCAGGGGTAAACCTAGACAAAAGAACCACATATAGGGTAGAAAACTATTAACTCCAGTAAAAGTTCACAAGACAATTTAAATGTTCATTGGCTTGTTAAATGGTTAAGTAGCACAGATACGGATCAGTAACCAAGATGTAGCCTCGCATCCTGACTTCCCTGCATGTCATTTATTTTTTTCTGCTACCATAATTTCAATAGGTACATCAATGATTCACTATAGTACAACTTATAGCAATGACTGACCATAATCGTATCATACTTAGGACACAAGTCTGCAAAGTCTATAACATTTTTGGCAAATAACCAGCCTTTAATGCATTGTTAGAATATGGAACAATGAAATTTTGCGCAATAATGTTTGTAGCCTAAGGGAATAATTGAGTGAAATATAAATGATTCTGGGAAGTTAGTTGCAAAATTGGTAAAACCCAGAAATTAAAATAACCATTCGTTTTAGGATGGACATATTAGCCTGAATTTCAGAAGAGATCTCCAATGGAGAAGTAATTTTGACTAGCAACAATTCCATGAACTGTTTCAATCTTATTTAGCAATTAAAGATAACAAATCTATGTTTTTGAGGCTTTAAAAATACTTACATAGAGAAACCACGTATAATTGAGGTATATTATGTTCATGGAAAGTGGCATATGAATTAATAACTTGTACACAGAAGTTCAGGATGTTACAGATAATGATAGAGAACTAAATGATATGCACAATTTAGAAACCATAAACATAGTTTCTTAACCAAAACACTGAGAATATCTATGATTGATTACAGATTGTCAAGTTCCAGCAAACCTGGTTAAATAATGGCAGCACAACAATGTGATATGTGCTTGCACAGCAGGAAACTTACAGTCCGCTGGCCAGATATAATTCTGGAAACATGACTAAGTTTAAGGTGCTTCTCCTCTTTGCCGGAGAACCAGATCAGAACAGACTCATCCTGGAATGAAAAACATATACTCATCAGATGTTTTCAAGTGTCTTACATAGTTTCACACTGAGCAAAAGACTAAAGTAATCTCTACCAAATTGAAAACAAGGCATCAGAGAAGTGGCTGGCTAGCATTACATATGATATGCAATTCTGCCAAGGTTCATAAACTGATATCAAGTAGGTACACTCAATAAAAAATATATAAGTAAGAATTTTATGCAAACAAATATTTAGCACATCTTATGGGACAAGAAAACATAAACACCTATAAGCATATCAACAACTCAAATAATACCAAGCTAGCCACGTCATTTCCATTGCTTCCAGCAGAAATTGCAACAGGTTTTAAATATATGACCAAGCATGTTACTTGTCACTATTACGAAATATTCAGATTATGGAGATATGAAGAGCAAGAAGCCAAGAGCACAATCCCTCGAGACCCTGTTGTGCATCTTTTCTAAATCCATAGGTTCAGCTAGTGGCCGTTAATTGCATCTTTTGATGGCTTACATTTGCTAGGCGGAATGGACAAAATTTAGGCTTCCCTCTTCTTCCATACTTCAGTAAGTATGCACCTTTCTTCAGAGCAGTTATGGCCTGTTACAAAGCATGCGTCACCAATGGAACAAATTAAATCATGCTATGTACCTATTAAATATGGAGGAAAAATCAAATAACCTGGTGGCAAATCAATCAGATCAAGATGAATACTTATAGTGCACAGAATTTTAGCGAAGAATAGAGGTGGGATGCTGACATGTTCAGATTTAGTTTCATAAGTTGTCTTAGATATACATAATTTTACCTTAGCTACAATACATCCATGGTTTATCTTAACAATACAGCTCCGATCAAAAATAAAATAAAATAAAAGGTAAATACAGAATTTATGTGGTTTGACTGCAGTGAAACATTTTCTATTAATTATATTGATTTGGTTACAGGCAGTATAACTATAATCTCAACTCAAAATGGAAGACATTCATCAACCCTTTTTGCTAATATAGGTCAAATGGCCAAACCAAATAATTTCAATCTTTCTAAGAAGAAAAAGTTCACAATTTAATATTGAAATAATCATCAAATTATAATGTATCCACATAAAGGTAGTGAGAATGGAAGAAGCTAAAGAAAGTAAGTATTCAAGTATGTTGGATGTACATAATTAGTATAATCACCACACACAAGCTGTATAAGAACACAATTAACTGTCAGTACTAAGAAATTTTATTAGAACACAACAACAAATAAAAAGTTATTCAAGATAGCTTTCTTAGAATCATAAAAAATCACAGGATTGCCCAAGTCAGAATGAAAGGCCTCACAACAAACTACACAATAATTATGACCCGGATTTCAAGGATATCTTAAAAGCGATCCAAGTCCCAGTTCTAGACTGTGCTTCCAGAAAATGGCATCCAGATTATGGACTTTGTTATCTAGTTATAAGAAACAAAGTTTTGTACACAAAGTACCAACAAAACACGGGTGACAAAGGAATGCATCGGTATTTATAGATTTACTACAATTACTCGTAGTTCAACCTCATTCTGTTTTACGGAAACACGTGTCACATGAGTCAAACCAAGAAGTTTCTTTATATGCACAGTACAGCCAGAATTGACCTTCCAGGATACTAGGAGAGGCAACAACTTTCCACAAAGAAACATCTTATACAATTCAAACAATTAAATTATTGAATACCTGAATCAACAATAAAACCAAAAGTACATTGAACATTCAGTTTCCTAGTAATTCAACCACATTATACAACATCAATAATCACGCTTGTCATCCATGCTCCTTATAAGCAATCCAGTCTCAAATACTATATAGAAGCTTCCATGAAACTAGGAGTGCCAACCCCCTCTCCATCTACCCCCCAAACTCCACAGGCATCCATAAATAACATTTGGGTCAATGATCATTAATTAAGTAAAAGATGTAGGAACTCTGATTCATAAGTACCGGAAACCGATAAACAAAATGAACAGCTCAATAAAAATATATTCGTATATGTACATTATGTTTCACTGTTTCTTTTGTTCGTTAAATCGAATCACCAAAACCGCATCGATCATAAGAGTAAAAATTATTAGCACGTAATGGCTAAACGAGAAACTAATTAATCAACACTTACAACAGTAACGCCATTGTTAAACATCTTATTAATATACCAACAAATATTGTGCGTGAGCGCGTCCATCAGAGAAATCCAGAGAGGAAATGTACATAAAAATATAATTATATACCTGTTCGATGTCTCTCTCGACAGCTCCACCAGCTCTGCTGACATCAGTGTTGCTCATCCTATTGCCGTTCCGCGACCACCGACAACAAATTCACACTTTCTGAAACAAGCCCTAAATCCAAAACCCCCATCCACCACCAACGCTCATACACTAATATCACCTTCAATCAACTACACGCCAAAGCCACAGAACCAGCACCCCCGCATAGAACTACATAGATTCCACAACACCAAGCAATTCCCCACCCGCCAGCAGAAAAGCAGCGACCCGTTACATGTACTCGCGCAAGCCGATTCGAATGAAGGAGATGCAGGCGGTGCCGGTGCGTGAGTAGTGGGAAGATCAAGAGAGGGCGAGCTGAGTAGAATCCAATGGTGGTGTTTGATCTGATAATTACCAGCTTTCCATTGACAACAGGAACAGAAACACAGCTCTGTTCTGTTCTGAACACAGATATGGAAGTGTGTGTGTGTGTGTGAGACAGAGAGAAAAAGGAAAAGTGTGGACTTATGGTGTTGAAATTTTATATGTTTAATGCAAATGTATAAAAATTGTAAAACTAATACAGTTGCGTCAATCAAATATGCTATGCACTATTTTTATTTCCTTTTGTTACATATAATTATAATTCCTCCGTCGTAAGGTTTTCAACTTTTGCATTACTATTATCTAATAAGATTATAAAGAAAATAAAAAATAAATAATATTTTGATATTTAATTAAAAATTATTTTAATGAAAAAAAATTAAAATTGATTCTATAGACTAAAAAGGGTAAAATAGAAAGTTTAGTAATAAGATGAGAGAATATTTTAACCATATTTAAATTTAAATAATTTTTAATTTTTTAAATTTTAATTGTATTACATATCGCGTATCATGTCATGTGTGGCTCGCGTAGTGTGACTTGTGTGTCGATCATAATTTGCAGGGTATTAAGCTCGACGTGAGTTTACCCCGTACGCACTTTCGGTAGTGGTAGCGTGAGATCATGAATTTAAACCCGATATTAAAAAAAATACTCTCTGTGATATAAGATCACCATAAACACTAAAATTTAGAAGATGTATGATAAATAATTAAGAATCTATCAGTAAAAATAATTATAGATTAAAGTTAGCAAAACTAATCTTAAAATTTTAAAATTTGAATTTTTTAAATATGAATATTTTCCAAAAATAGAAAATTACATGAAATCTTACAAGTTCAAACCCCCTCTCAGGTCACCTGCCACATATAGTTCGCCTAGTGTGTCGGGCCTAGTTTACGAGATATTATGTTCGGCCGGGGGTTAACCCAACGCGCACCTTCGGGTAACGGTAGCGTAAGATCATGAGTTTAAACCCGATACTAAAAAAAATACTCTCTCTGATATAAGATTAGGATTACCGTAAACACGAAAATTTAAAAGATGTATGATAAATAATTAAGAATGTATTAATAAAAATGACAATAGATTAAGGTTAAAAAAACTAATTTTAAAACTTTAAAAATCTAAAATTTGAAACTTTTAAATATTATTCAAATGTGTAATACTTTTTAAAAAATAGAAAATTATATAAAATTGACACAGATAAAAATGAAAAATATATCATTATATATAAGACAGAGAGAATATCATATAGGAGAGTATTTTTCTTAACTAAATATTAATGGTTGTAATTTTCTATAAATAAATATTATTTTATTTCATAAAATATTATCATATTCAAACTAACTATAATAATAATATTAAAATTAAAAAATTACTAAACACACCTACAATATTTGTTATATTTTATTGTTTTTAATATTAAATAATTTTATTATTTACTACAAATTTTATATAATTTTTTCGTCATGTAAAATTTACTCACTTGATCGACATAAATTTTAAGAAAAGTAAGTAAAAAATTTTTAAAAAATAATAATTCTTTTTAGGTAAACAAAATTTTTTACTAAAAATAAATAAAATTTAGATGACGATAAAAAAAATAAAATAAAATAAAGAGAGTGAGAATATATTTTGATGGCAACTATAGTACATAATATCATATGCAACTAATTTTTTACCCATCTCAAACACCCATTCATATTTTCCTTTTTTATTTGACTCTCTTAATTTCGTGGTTTTTATATATGTAGACAAAAAATTGTGTTATTTTTAATAAATATAAAAATTTGTACAAATAATATTTAATTTGGATTTAAAGCATGTCATATTCTCTAAATAGGTCTTTTGATTCTCCTTCCGAATTGATTTGTTTTCCAACTTGATTTTCAATGGCTTCTTTAATTCGAAGAGATTTGGTCTTCAGTTTTCTTTTGCCTGACTTTGGAAGGCTTTGGTGTCCAATCCTGCATTTGGGGGTTTGAATTTTGAGTGATGTGATATCAATAAATATTGATGTGATTTGAATGTAAAATTGATTTTTTATATATTATAAAAAAAAAATAAAAAAATAAATATTTGATTTGATATTTTTTAGGGAAAAAATTTAGTGAATAGTAGAAACTCTGAAAAATCTTTTAAACGAGCACACCCTGAGTTGAGGTTTCATTACATCCGTGAGCTATTAGAGAAAATGAATATGAAATTAAGGAAAGGATAAAAAAAATCCAGCAAATATGATTACGAAAGTTGTGACCTTAGATAAATTGAGGTTGTATTTAATCTCAATCAACTTAGATGGGTGAAAAAAATGAGTTTTGATGTCCTTACAATGGCTAGTTGAAATTGGAATACAAAACAATCGTGGAGTTGGATTTCAAATAGAAAATTTATGTGTTGTGAAACCAAAATTGGAGCCAGAAAGGTATCATAATTTAGTTTGGCCTAGCGTGTATATATATATATGTTCCACCTCTGTAATTAACATTACGAGAATGTGAATTATTCTAATTAAATTGGTCACCAAATTTTATGTATTCTGGTACAATTTTTTTTTTTTCCAATATTTGCAACAGTGATTGCAATACATCTCAAAATTGAACTACTTATCACCGAATGACCGTGTTGCAAAAAGATAAATTATATATGGAACTCAAATATGGCCAATCTATTTTATCGAAAAAAAAAAAAGTAGTGGAATGTGTTTGTTTGGGGGTTTGGATTTTGAGTTGGGATTTTAATAGTAAAAAATTTGAATTTGAATAGTTGTATGATGTGATATAAATAGGTGTTGATGTGATGTTTTGAATGTAAAATTGATTTTTAGTATAATATAAAAAATGAAAAATAGATGTTTGATTTGATGTTTTTTGGGGGAAAAATTGAATGAACAGTGTAAATCTAATCCAATCCCCCAAACAAACACACTAGACGTATGAAATTATATACTCCCTCCGTCCCATAACTAAATATCCATTTGCTTTTTGCACGTAATTTTAAAAATATTAGTATTATATTAGGATATAGTAGAAATAAAGTAGAAATGACTAAAATAATCTTATTAGTATGCGTGATATAAAGGTAATAGCATTTGTGAATATATTATAAATTGTAAGGGTATTTGTAATTTTAGGTTAGTTACTAAAAAAAGGAAATTGATACTTTGTTATAGGACGGACTAAAATAGAAAAATGAATATTTTGTTATCGGACGGAGGGAGTATATTCCAGGTCCAATATGTTCACATAGAGCTAGAAATAAAATAAAATGGAGTGAATCAATTAGTGACATTCTTGTTATGATCCAAATAAGGCTTCTTTGTTCTTTTCACCATTGATGTATCTGATCTTTACTGAAATGCATATGTTGGATCGATCATGTGTTTGTCTGTTAATTTATAAATTTAGAGAGAATGAATTCCAGAAATTAGCAGTACTTGCTCTGGGGTGAGCATTTGCATTTCTTGCAATGGCAGGTTCGGCAGCGCATTGGGGTTTCCCTCGTGGAGGAAATAAACAAAATACACAATCAATCGGGAAGAAGAAAGGGGAGGAGAAAAAGGGGAAAAGATAGGTGGGGAGAGACGTAGTTGTTATAGAAATGCTCTTTTTTTATAAAAATAAAAATAATAAAATTTAAATCAATTATTTTAAATAAAATTATTATTTATATTTGGTGTATTGCCTGTAAGATTTTGTATTTGATTTTTACTATTTCAAAATATATGAAATAAAATACCTATTATTTTTTTTAATATATTATACTAAAATTTTAAATTCAAAATCATTACATATATATTTTTTTATATCATATCAAATAACTATTTTAATTCAAAAAGTTATTATTCAAAACTAAACCCCAAAATTAAAATCTTACAAGTAAATATATTTTTATAAAAGTCATTATTATTTTATAATTTTACATTTATTACAAGTTAAATAATTATTTTATAAATATAAATTTTAACAATTAAGTGAATATTTGTTCTAACAAAATTGAAATTAAATGTAGCCGGTGAATTGAAATTATGAATCTGAAGTTAAGAAAATTGAAAAAAAAAATTAAAAAAATGAATAAACATAAATTTATCGTAATATTATTATAGGATTAGCCAATAGAAATATTAATTATATCTGCCGCTAACCACTTATTTATATATTATATTATATTATAAATATTATGTATATAAATATATGTATATATATAAATCTGTGATATATTATATATATTGTGTATATTATTTATTATTATATATTTATGTATAATGTATATATGGTATATTTGTATATAGCAATTTAATGTAAATAGACAGAGAATAAGACAAGCGTGAGAGAATATGTGGAGGGCGTGAATTTATTTCATTGTATTACATCTCTATTTATAGGAGAAAATTAATACAAATTAACACTACATGTATAATCATTGCGACGTGGCGTAATATTCCTTAGACATTTGCTCGGTAAACATGGCGTCCACAATATTGATGATATATCATCTACGTTGCTTATAATACTCCCCCTTAGACGTCATTATAAAAGAATGTGTCTCGTTAAAACTTTATTAGGAAAAAACTCAATGGAAAAAAAATCCTAGTGAAGGAAGAAGAGTGCAATATTCTTGTATAAATTCGCTCCCTCTATCTGAATATTATTTGAGATCCCTTAACCGACGCATCCCAATTTTCTTCACCAATTTTTTAAATATTGCAGTCGATAATGTCTTAGTTAATATATCCGTCAAATTATTATATAATCGAATTTGCTGTACATTAATTTCATCATTCTGTTGAAGATCATGAGTGAAAGAATTTTGGTGAAATATATTTCGTTCTATCTGCTTTAATGTAACCCTATTTCAATTGGGCTATACAAGCCGTATTATCTTCATGCAATGTAGTTGGGGGAATTTTATTGTCGGGTATTAACCCACAATTTTTCAATATGTTGAGTCATTGACCTCAACCAAACACATTCTCGACTAGCTTCATGTATTCCCAATATTTCAGCATGATTTGAAGAAGTGGCAGTTAAAGTATGTTTCATCGACCTTCAAGAGATCATTGTTTCGCCACAAGTGAATATATAGCAAGTTTGAGACTTGGATTTATGAGGATCAGATAAATATCCTGCATCGCCAAAATCAAT